ATTTATTTCTTAAAGTAACAGTCAAGTGTTTAAGAGGGTGACCTATTCACACATTTTGAATCTTATATCCAGTCACTGTGTTGACTTGTGCCAACATCGTCTGTTGCTGTGTCTCACTGTAGCAGCGTAGTTTGCCTCAGTCTATTCACAGATGTATTTTGACGTCAGTGGATGGTGGCTGAGACAAGTTTCTTTAAACCTCAGGGCTGTTGCATCACTGCATCACAGTTTCACTGTGGTCTGTTACATTTTGTTGCTAACACCACTGAGGAGAATGAGACAATATGGTGTGTGAAAATGCCTGTAAAGAATCCAGTACCACGGGGGAACAAGTATTTCTTTCACCTTATTTCTTTATTACCATCAGTGTAATAATATATAATTTAGTGAGTTGTAATTGCAAAAAATGGACAGATGCAATGTCTGCTTTGCCAGTACAGTAATTGTACCCTTGTGCTTCCCAGCTGCACAAAATTAGCCATTGCCACATAATTGTAACAGTACATACAATGTCTCTTGTGTTAACACATTTGTCGGGGAATAAGAAGCACAGGCAGATGTGATTAGGAGCTTAACAGCCAGGTAAACATGTTCACGCATAGTAACAATAATACGAGCATATATCAACAAATAACAACAAATACATGTAGCTTTTACTTAAGTAGGATGTAAAATGCAGATCATTTACGTGTACAATTTCTACAGTTCATTGCGTCAGAACTATAAAGACACACAAAAACAGAGTTCTTGAAGAGAAATCAGTTCTCTTGAAGAGACACAGTATAATGACCCCCCACAAGGAGGCTGCAATGGCAGACTTTTCCCCCCAACTTCGAGTGTAGCGATTCAAAAGAAGTAACATAGGGGATGAAACATTGTACGATCAGTAACAGCATTATCTCAGATGTGACAAAATGAGGCCTTGTAAATGGAGGTAGTGTTTGAGAACTAATAACATTAAAATTTTTGTTCTGAAGTGAAATCTTATGAATTTGATGGCAAAGTTTTCCACATAGTTTTCTGGTATCTCATAGGGTAGTGGAGAAAAGAATTATGGCATCACCTTAGGGAGTAACTGGTAAGTAGCAAGTCCCTGAGAGTTGGTACAATACTGCAGATTTCTCAGCCAGCCTTTTTTCGCTAATGGAGTTGCAGAACTATCCTCCTGCAAAGAGGGAAGAGCGGCTCAAATGAGGCAGTGGAATGACAGGCAATAGACTGGAAAATATGAGAAAGAGAGAGGGGGGGTGGACTCAAGCTGATGTGTTTATTTGCCACTGCGGGTGCCCAGCAGAAATCTTGGTGGGCGAATGCATTTTAAGTCCCCAATGCATAAAAAAGTAGACACAGCCCGTCTCCTACCATAAAAATATTAAGGGATCAAACAAGCCCTCAGATGTTGTGACTTTCGGGTTTCAGAAGTTGATACAGAGGTACAGGGGAAGGAGTTGAAATACTCTTTAGTCACAATGTGGTTAACAGGTTTTGTCCGACTTTTGAGGCAATCATGGCAATTTTGACAGTCAATCTGTAAAAACTAGATACTGGATCCAGCACTTTGTAGTTCAGATCACGTTTGCAATCATTGCGACAGACAATTTTTATTTACAAAGTTATTGTGAAGTAAATGGACTGGGTTTAGGGAGATGATTGTGAAGTGTTATCATGTGCAATTGACTGAGGCAATAACTAAAGGCAGAAAAGGAAAAGCAAAAAGCTAAGTTCTTCAACAGGTGTCAAGGAACAAGCTTTGGTTTGATCTCTCAGGGGCCTATACTACAATATACAAAATACTACAAACCAAATCGCAGCCCACCTGGCTATTCCAAAGCTGAGGCATAACACAAAACTATCCACTATTGCTAGTGATGACAGCTTGACGTCCTAGTCTTGTGAATCATCCAGCACAATCAAGTCTTTACTCAGCAGTGAAACATTCACACAAGGTTCATGTGGTAGTAAAATGCAACAATATTATCAATACTTTTTTTTTTTTTTTTTTTGCTGTTTTATTCAAAGAAAGAGCGGTGCTTAATGATATTCTTTTCTGATGCCACTGAAACTCTTAATAGAAGTAAAAGACACTGTGTGCAACATAAAATCTACCACTACCAGACAGAACCAATGTATAACATATTTAAAAACGATCCACTCTTGAAAGCTTGCCAAGGTGAATCATTATGCTGCAGATAATTGCTGACTCATACGTTACTCGATGATGCATTGCAATATGTAACATTCCTTGTTAATCTTTTCCTCAAAGCATAATGACACATGCTTTACATTAAGTTGTTTTATTTTTTACATTAGCATTGGCCAGATGGAGTTAAGCACACTCCGTTTGAAATAGAAATGAGATGTTGTAGGTTGTTAGATTGGTAATAACAAGTTTTAGTTTGAAAAATCTAGCTAATGTTAAAGTGCTAGGTTGAAAAGTAAAGCTAAGTTTGAGGTTGAAAAGTTAACCTAACAATAAGGAATTTTTATTATATTATAACAGTAAGTTTTAGATCAAAAAATGGCAAATGCTAAGTTACAGTATAGCTTGAAAAGTACTTAGGTTACAGTAACAGTTCTTAATTATTAGGTTTAAAATGCTAAGGTTCAGAAGTTGAAGGTATAAATAAATCAAGTGTTTGTTCAGAATTTTTAGGTTAAAGTTAAATTAATGGTAAGTTTAATCTTATAGTAATTTTTCACCATTGAGTGATATTTGATATTTTGCAAATGTTTTTCATTCAGAATTAATTCTACCTAAAAAAATAATAAACAAATGACACAAGTTACCTGCTACCTGATATTAGACAGCCAAGTCAAGTTTCCCACTTGGGATAATAATAAATAAACTGAACTGAACTGAACTAGACATGAAGATCTGTGGAGTCACATTTGGTTGACAAGTCCCTAGGTTTTCCTTGCAGAAATGAATCTTCAGTGTGGCCTCTAGTTTTACGACAGCAGTGTTAAACGTTATTCGCAGCTCAGACAGTTGTTGATACAGAGTTAATGGACAATTTAAGGTAGGGCTGATTTAAAAAAAATAAGCTGTGTGCTGTGTAGCCATAGACATTTCTAATATGAATCAAATTGATGGTATGTTTTAATGTTATAGTCCTTTTTCAGCATTGACTGAAATATCATCAAATACATGTGAAATCCACCACGTTCACACATACATAGACTGAGTCTAAAGTACAGGGGCAGCTTATGTACTATTTCTACTGTATTTTGTAGGGATGGACCAAAGCTGACGTTCTAAATTTCAATCCAGAGCTTTACAGTTTTTGAGAGAGGGCTAGCTGGTGTTGCTCTGCCCCACTGGATGCCTGTTCTGCTGGACGATGATACATTATAGCGACTATAGAAGGGTGCTTGAAGAAATGACTTCAAAGGAGCAACTGAGATAGAAGCTGCCCAATCAGATCTCACTTTAGCAGGATAATAGCATTCAGGTCCCCAGAGGCATAAACGAGGATGTGTCATAAATTATGAATTTCTATGAGAACAGATATGGATGGCGGTGTCATGCAATAATTGGCCCAGCACTTTGCTCCAAGTGAAGCTGGCTGGTGGCTGAGTGATGCACACCGCAGGCACCTACCCCAAAAACACGTTGAAGTGATTTGCAAAGTCAGCATGACAGAAAGAGACGCCTCCAATTATCATGGTGACCCAAGGCTCTATGATGTGGCAACCACATCCCATGACCTGCAGTGCAGCATGATGGGAAGTAACAGTGAGTTCAAAGATAAAGGAGCTGTCTGAGATGACTGAAGGTATTCTACTGTAAAAATACACCTGTTTTCTTAAAGTCACCTACAATCTGGTGGTGCAACACTAAAAATGGGTTCATCTTTTTAGCATCACAGATTTCAAGACAATTTCAGATTTGTTCATTTTTCTGGCTAATAAAAAGATGTTAGTGTTTTTAGAAATCAGTGCTTGAAGAAAAAGAAAAAAATAAATCAGAGCTTGATGTGAAAACATAAATAGGTGCCAGTATTCTGTGTGTATCAGCAGGTCCCCCATCTCTGACATTATAAAGTAATGTTGTACAACAACTCTTAAAAGCTTCTTTTTTAAAAATAGTTAGCTAGAAAATTACATAAACTAATAAACGATTTAGCCTCGGCTACTAAAACGAACACCAAAACTAAACAGGAACTGTTAAGAATTGTAGCAATTTATGCAAAAAAGTGATGAAAAGGTGGTGACTTACATGTTTCTCACCTTGACCTTCTTCAAGCATGGATTCATTTTCTGTTCTGATCTCAAGTCTCGGCAAATAATTAGGTAGGCACCAATAAGAGGCAAAGTTTTTATGATGTCATCATGTAGACTTCTCACAAAGTATTTTGCAGTATTTTAAACTATAAAATACAAAACTCGCTGATGTAATTTGATACTAAATATTTTAATCAACCCTATCAAATATATATTACAAACCCCTATTTTGTATTTCAAATACATGTATCATAAATACTGCCCATCCATGCAGATAGTGTTGATCTATATGATAAGGCAGCATGTTTCTCCAGAAGCAATGTCCCAGTTATAATAGTTCCAATTCAAAACTGTTACTCTTGAAAGAATTTGAAAAGCCCTCACAGACAAATACTAGATACTGATTGGCTGGTATTGTCACACAAAGAGCTAATTTTTAGTAATTGCTGCACCCTCCCAAATTTAGTAACCCAATTAAGAAGATCTCTCCCGAGACCCACTGAATTAAAACTCCTCTTGCATGGCATTATGGCTTCAGGATTTGTCTTTTACAGAAAAACCAAAAGCAAATTTGCTGTGTCAATTTTCATTTTTATGCATCTAAACAATATCAAAATAATGCTACCCTAGAGAATGAATCTTACTTCAGACCTCAGGTTTGTGCAGACCCACTGTTCTCTCTTCTCTAAAATAAAAGGATTAGATGAGACAAATGTCTAAGATCGGTGGCATTTCTCATTCTCTGCTCCCTGCCTCTCCTCACTGTTTTTCTGCAGGTGAAAGAGTGAACCGATGAGGCGGAGGACTTCTTCCTCAGCACACACAGAGACACCTTGCAACGTTCATCCGTGGGAGGAGGGGAAACACTTGGGATTGTTGCCAGCAGGAGGAATTCAAGGTCAGTACACAGTACGCTCTCTCTCTCTCTCTCACTCACACACACACACACCCACACAGAGTCAGGTTTGAAGAACAAATAAATAGTTGAAGGGAGCGTCTTCTTTTCTAATGGCTGGTGTTTGTATTAAGAGGAGTCAAGTGAGTTGATGAGATTTTTATGCATGAGCTATATCATGAACAAATGAGACAATTCTCAAATGTCTCTGTCCCTTTTCTCCCTCTGTCCTTCCTTCTTTTTCTTTCAGTCTTTTAGTTTAATCCACTCTGCCTTCCCTCATATGTTGTTTTCTTCCTCGTGTTGCTTTCTTCATTTCTTCTGTCCTGTATTACATTTTTTTTTCATGTCATATGTCTAAAGAAAATTACTAATCAACACTTCCAAACAAATGGGCTGTGCAAGAATTTGGATTTTAATTGCTTCCCCATAGATTGCTGCCTCACTGAGAAACTGGGTTAATTGCATAAGTAGAGAGAACCTCTTGTGACCTTCACTGAATGCTGCCAACTACAGTTACTGACCGTGTTGCATTTACAGGTTATTAAGCCATAGCTATGAAGAAAAAAGTGATAGCCTGGATGTCTGCCTGTTTTGGATGAATGTTGACATTGTTTTCAAAAAGCTTTTTCAAAGTGTCAGTGCTGCATAGCTTTCCTGACAGGATCAAGTCTGCAGCATACATGTGTCAGCATCAGGGCATGAGGCATATGGAGTTGTTCAGGCTTGTTATTTCACTACAGGTTGATTAGACTTGCTTTAACGTGAAGGGCAAACAGAGCATTGAAAGTAAACCCAAAATGCGTGTATAAATATATCTTTGCTTGCTTTAGTTTGAACTGTTTCTTCCTTCTTGTCTAATTTCCAAGGAGATTTGACCAGCCATTCTTTTTCAAATATATCCAGGCAATGAAAGAAAGGAGGGATTCAGCACAGACAGCTCTGGCAGGAATCAATCAGACCTGCATGAACTAAGCCCCTCACATATCTCCAGCCTTCTGTCTGTCTTCCCTCATGTCTTGTGTTTCTTCCTTAACCATTCCATCCTTTTATTCCTTTCTTCTTTTCTTTGTTCCTTCCACTCCTTCTGTCTGTCTTTGGTCCCTTCCTTTCCCCCTCCTGTTTTTTTTTCTTCTTACTTTTCTCCCCTCCTTCCTTTCTTTTGTTCCTTCTGCCCTACCTTCTGCCTGTCTTTGGTTCCTCTCTTTCTCCCTCCTGTCTTTTTTTCTTCCCACTTTTCTCTCTTCCTTCCACATGTCTTTGATCCCTTCCTTTCTTTCTTTTATTCCTTCTTTCCTTCCTTCTGCCTGTCTTTAGATCATTCATTTCTCCCCCTTGTCTATTGTTCTTCCTTTCTTCCTCCTGTCTTTTGTTCCTTCCCTCTTTCCTTCCTTTTCACCTTCTTTTGTTCCTTCCACCCTTCCTGTACTTTCTTCCACTCTCCTTTCCCTCCTTATTCCCTCTTTCTTTCTTCCCTTCCTTATTTTGACCTCCCTTCTGTGAACACCTAACACAGAACCAATGATAGCTGGAGATGAGTTTTGCCGTGTGACATATTCCCGGAAATGACGTCACTAGCTGAGGATAATAATACCTGTTTTATAGGTTGAGAATCCCAGGGCACTGTGAAGGATAAGCTGGGTCAGCTGAAAACACAGACAGACTGGAAATTGTATTTTAATGCCAGGGAGGATTGGTTCATTTAAATACTGTATATGAGAAATGAGTTGATATTGGACTCACAGAGGATTTGATTTGTTCTCATCATGCTTGCTGTTCTCCCTGAATAATCCAAATAGTTTGCAATTGTTTTTCATTCAGAACTAATTCTACCTAAATAACCAGGGTGGAAAAAGAAATAATAAACAAATGACACAAGTTCCTTGTTACCTGATATTAGACATCAACATCTGTGGACTTAAGTGAGTCACATTTGGTTGTCAAGTCCCTTGGTTTTCCCTGCAGAAATGACTATTTAGTGTTGCCAGTTTAACGACAGCCGTGTTAAACATTATTGGAAGCTCAGACAGTTGTTGACACAGAGGTCCAGTATTGGAAAAGCCCATGCTAATAGACAATTTAAGGTAGGGCTAATTAAAAATAATGAGCTGTGTAGCCATAGACATTTCTAATATGAATCTTTAGAGCTAGATCAGTAATGGTTTAGTTTGCCATTGAGATACATCAGCCTCTATATTGAACAAATCACATGTACCTCCTGGACAGTGGTATAGAGAACATCAATTCCATTAAGTCCTGCATTAAAATTAAGAAGGCATTTGAAATTCATTACATATTTGTATTATTATCTGGACGCATGAGTTGTGTTCTATAATAAAGCAGGACTGCTTAAGAAAGTGGATCTTTTGTAACCTGCATAGCATCCAGGATGTTAATGAGATGTTTGTACAGGAACAGAAAATAGAGGCTACACACAACAGAAGCTATAAATATGCTTAATAGCCTCCTGGGTCAGTATGTGTATTAGATGCAAGCATTATCCTTTTGGGAAACACTGTATTAACAAGTATTGTAGCATTAAAAAAGTGTTTAACAGGCTTTGTTTGATCCCTGCAAGGTCTAAGAAAGGACTTGGCTGGATTTTCTGACTGCTGTGACCATACACGAAGGCGTATTCTCACTGTAACTCAATATGCTTCTGTCACTAAGTCTAACTCTCTGTGGGCCGATTGTATTACATTGTAATGAGCTGGGGCTATTTGGTTAGAGTGTTGTTTAGACTTTTTATCTTTCAGTTTTTCTGTTTCCACTTTTGAAGTCATGACTTTGTTGAACACGCATATTTTCAAAAAATGCATTTTCACAGTTACTTTCGAATGAAAGGCCACAGTTTTAGTTTAGTTCATTCCTAGTCTAATAAAATAGACAGTCTTTCACCGGAGTGTGTTTTTTCATGGAACATGAAAGATTTGATTGCTGATGAGAGATTGCTTGAGTGGTTAAATTATGAATGAGGGATGCCTGTTTGATGCTGGTGTACAGTTCTGATGGCAAAGCCTGTATAACGTTTTTAACGTATACTAACATATTGTTGAATAATGTGTTGCATCTTTGCTTGGTAACTACGGTTACGGTTAGGGAATGATCATGGTCATGGCAAATAAAAAAGCCTACAACCTAGTTAGGACGTTAAAATTGCCACTCTTTACTCCCTGATGTGGTAACCTTGGTGCTGTGGGGAGTGACAAAGTCAAAGCACTTCCATTTACATAATAATACATTCCATTTGAGATGGCTGACTGAACTATGAGGCCATTTACAGCTCAAATCCAGATTGTATCTGAATATGATTTTAACCTGATGACATTTCTCCAGTGTCCACATTGAGATATGATCCCCCTGTCCAACTTGAACAACCACATGTCACATCCTACTCTTATTTGCGTGGGTCCAAAAAATCCTCTGTAGCTATACACTGTATAAGCTTTGTTTCACCTTACCATTGGCTGTATGGACTGTAGCTAGATTTGTGGTGCGTTCAAGAACAATAAATTACATCAGTTTCATGACTGTGAAGGTTGTCAGTTATCCAAGGAAGGTTAAAATGAAGGGCAACTGGACTTGGTTGAAGATACTCGAAGACATTTCGTCCCTCATCCAAGAGACTTCTTCAGTTCGGAGTTCAGAATTAAACACATTTCTGCAGCAGCTTATTATGACCCATATTTACTTTTTTTGTTGGCCGCGACCTCTGGTGGTGGAACAAGTCAGGTGACATAGTATAAAGAGCAACAGAGTCAATGTAAGGAGCTGGTGGGGTGGGGTGGCTTGGGGTGGTGGATGGTGGATGTGCTAAGTAAACTCAGGACTTTCACTCAGGAGATTGAGCTTTCAGTCTCGTATGAAAGAAAGCTGAAGTTGACATATTTAAATTTTTAAGTTAAATTACATTATGTTACCTGACTTACACAATGTACTTATTTTAAACCAAACCACGATCTTTTCTTATCTCTAACGAAGTGGTTTTGTTGCCTAAACATAACCAAACCTAAGCAAACTCCTTTTACTGCGGTATATGTTACATGTTGATAGATGGGAATCGACCTGTTTTGTCGAAATTCAATTAAATTTTTTTTATATAGCACCAATTTATCTTATTGTGCTTTTTATATAGAGCAGGTTTTTCTTTCACTTTCTTTCACTCTGTGAAATCTAAGCAGAGACGGCATTCCCAACTTTTACTTCCCGAATGGTGTTCCCGTGCATTTCCACCTCTGTATACATACCTATCCGCCACCCAACTTTCACACCTTACGTTTATGCTTTACTACATAAAGGGCACATTCCTTCCTGCACTGGCTCTGAATGTTGGCACTGGTTTCTCTATGGGGGAAGGTGTTACCATCACTTCCCCACTCCCTGCTGTGCTGAACTTGGTGTTTTCCTGTGGGGAGTGATGAGATAAAAGCCTAAATGCCAAACATCAACATTGTACATACTCTCCATTCACAAAAAATTAAGTTCCAAATAAGTTGGCTGACTGATTTATGGCTAAGGAATGTAACATTAGGCAACTAGTAAACTTGGCTAATTTTAGGGAACAATTCTAGTTATGGTTTTATTTATATCATTTCAAGAGACATTGAGCTGGTATCGCTTAATGTCACTTCTCTCGATGTATCAATTTAATAACTCAGTATGTGGACCATAAGCTGGTGGGACATATATAGTGTGGAATCCTGCTTGAATGCACTGCTGAACACATAATATAACTGTGCATTGTCAAGAGGCAAAAGGCCTGCTTTCTGTGACAGGAAGAAAATAAAACTGTTGGGCACATGACCCACTGCAAAAAAAGTGATGTGCCATCAGTTTTTTGAATAACGCAGAGATGCATTGTTTCCTCTGCAGATATCATTTGGGAGTGGGTGTACTTGGAAGCAGTTGCTAAGAGATCTGTGAAAACAATATGCGGAAATATATGATATGCTTTAAATGTTACCCAAACAAATTGAGTTCAAAGAACTAAACCAAACTTGACA